AGCAGCAGCAGACCACCAAGCAGCAGCAGACCACCAAGCAGCAGCAGCAGCAGCAAACCCATCGCCAAAGGCAAGGTGCTTGAGGGTGACAAGGTGCCTGAGAGCAGTTGTCTCTTGCAGCCCTCGTAGCTGCAGTATCCCCTCAAGAGCCATCGACTCATCAGCGTCGACAGGGCACTTTCGGATGCATCTCAAAGCCTCCTGCAGGTTAGCCACCTCATAGGCGTAGGACAAAGAAGTTGGTTCCTCTTGATCCTCTTGCACCAGCCCTTCTTGGGCCAGAGTCTTCGATAATGAAAGCTTCTGAGAGCCTTTCATCACCACAACTCTTGCTCCAGCTTTCAGCGGAAGTCGATCGCGGATGATTCTTCGAAGCCCAGAGCCGGTCAGGGACTTGGGCACTCGAACCTGGAATCCATCTCCGCCCACGCCCACCACCTGAATTTCCAGTTCTTCATCACTGAGTCGCTGCACCAATTCGCTCGAGAGAATGTCCTTCCGAACTCTCTTCAATGGTGGCTCCAAAGGGCTGACTGCCATTGCCCATGGCCGCCCGCCAGCGGTCAGACCGGTCACGGACAAGAAAGCTCTGAAGCCTTCTATAGATCGACACTTTCAAGTGGGTGACAGACACTTTGTTTATCGAACATGAAGACTAGACGAGTATCCAGAGGTGTTGTGTTTTTTCCTATACACAGCAACACGATTGTATTTTGTGGATTCAATATAGAATTTATATATTGTTTTCTCTACTGTACAGGGGCAACAAGAACGTGACCTTGAGCAAACCTACAGTGGTTTCAGAGTGCATGGCACAACCGCCAAAAGGTAGTGTACCTGAAGCTTTATGAATCGAACAAATGAGCTCTGAACGAACAGCATATGGCTTTTGTTGCGTCCAACCATCACCTGAAGCAAACCCCGAAAAACGGCCGTTAAACCGGTGTGCCATTGCAAAGTAACCGCTGCCCTCTGCCACTCTGAACTTTATGGTGCCCTGCAATAATACCACAAACCGAGCAACATGACAAACCTTCTCTTCTGAGTTTTGCAGGGTGTCCTTACATTGACTAAGTTACCAACCCCCAAATCTACAGTAGCTCCAAAAAGGTGGTTGGCACGAAAAAATATCATCGCTTGGAGCCTCGAGCTCCAGGCTCCAGGCGAGCCCGTGAGGCATGAGAAATGAATGAACTGCGCTGAGAATCCGGGCCCGGTTGCAACACCCAGGGTTTGCTTCGGGTCCTGTGGACGTCACCGTCCAATCTTCCTGACCTGGTCTTCAGTTATGGCACGGTGGGGATCTACTTTTCGATCGATTTGGGTTCTATATACCTAAAAAGGTGCTTCTTTGGGGTGCTTGCTGAAGAGAAGTACCTTAGGAAAAAGTACCCAAAAGCTGCAATTCTCCCGGCATCGTACCTGATCTTCCGAAACATGAGGTGGGGAATGGCTGAAGAGGTAGCTGTGGGACCCAACCGTTCATGTTCGGTGTGACAAAAAACGGGTCGCCCGGTGGTCCCCACGAAATGAACGTCCGCCACCCCGTCCGCGGCCCCGGCCAGGAGAAAGACAAGGACGATGAGCGAGGGAATTCCACAGGTGGCACTGGCCCAGAGGGAACCTGTCCGCGACGTACCCAGTACCCAGTACCAGGGTCACGGGTTGGAGGTCGGTCAGTCCCGAGTTCGCCGGAGGTTTTTGGGGGTTCGGAAAACAGGGCAACCCTCGGAATGCTCACATTGAATCGGAAAAACCATATACCCAGACGCTCCAAACAGCCCTTGCTCCCTCAAAACCCTAGGGAATGGTTCGGGTCCGGCCCCTACTTAGGAGGGTCAAAGATCGCGTCTGGGTCAAAAGAAGAGACATGTCGATCCCGACTCTGAGGGATCTGTCGTTGACTCGAACCAGGACTTGGTGACAGGAACCTCTCTGAAGTCCAGGAAACGACGATGGTGCCAGCACCACCTTCAAAGAATTTCAATTCCGTTCGACCTCGCGTCATCCGGTCAGACTTTCTCGTCCGGTACCAGCCGGATGGGAAAGAACCCTTCCACGCTCCGTGAACGACGACCGGTCCCAAGCCGGGATTGGTGGAGAAGGTCCGAACCCCGAAGACCCCGGAGGTTTTGCAGGGTTTTCGGCCACGACCTGAAGACCCCGACGGACCGATCCGACCCCCACCCGCGCGAACAGCTCGGTGGGCCGAGGCTTCGGGGGGGAACACACCGCGGTGCGTTCGGGGTGTTCGTGGGTTCGGTTCGGGCACCGGAGGGGATCCACGAGAGTCAGGTCCGGCCCCCCAAAACTTGGGTCCAAAAATGGGTGAACATCGATCGGGAAAGGATAGGGTTCTTCATGTTCCAAACTAGTTCGGTGCAGGCTGCCTGGCGAGTTCGACCCATACCATGGAGGGATTCACAGCGGATTCCTACGGGCTCTGAAGGCAACTACTATATACACTCGATTTTTCCATGTGAATGGCCGAATGCCTACGGCATGTCACACGCAATTACTATTGTAAGATAGCGAAACTTAGAATGCCTGTTTGAGTTCCAAGCGCATAGAATGCATCTCCATCTTAGAATGCCCGCGGCATTCTAAGTTCCGGTCCGATATCAATTCCTAAACATAGAGGTTAAAATATGTGGTTATTTCCTTGTGAAATCCAATGCTGCCAGCAATTCTTGGCATCTTGTTCAAGTTCAAAAGCAGAAAGAAGAAAAGTTCTTTGGGTGTTCCATCACCAAAACAATCCCATCACCAAACAGCTCACACCTGTGCAGAATTCCGGGGAAAAAAGTACCGGAACTGGATGAACCGCCATTCCCATCTGTCACAAATCCCTGTAAATATGCAGAAAACCAAACATCCAGTGCACGCATTCTAAGTCGAAATGCCATAAAGGTATCCAAAAAAAAGCACCGGAACCAGTTCCGGTAGTTTATCAGGGTCCATATTTCCGCCTTTTCGTTTCCAAACGCACATTCGAAGTTTCACTAGCCTACTATACCCTGAAATAGTCGCGGAAGATGGCCCGTTGGATGACCATGAAATCCTCTACAAGCAGGTGGTTTTCCACTTCGGATGAGGTATCACGAACCGTGGTTGTTCTGGGTCTACCCCTTTCCTCTTGGGAACCAGTAAATACCTAGCTAGCGTGACAGTGGGATTCCACTGGAAACCTTTTGCGCCACATCCTTCGACTCCACCCGCCTTCCCCCCTGTCCAGGTCCATACCAGGCAGCATCTGGGGAAGATCCGCATACGCCCCCAGGAGGTATTGATGTCCTTGCTGATGTGCTCCCCTGGCAATGTGTGTGATATCGCAGGAAAACCATCAGGAAAACCACTCTACTCTGCACCAGTTTTGCTTAGACTACACAGTTCAGTGTTGATCTTTGGGGTGGACACGATCACAATGTCCTTGAACGTCCGGGGCCACAGGTGGGCAATTGCTTGAGGGATGATTGTAACCATGAAAGTGGTTGCTGTGCGCGGGGCCTTTGATAGCCGGTTTCATGGATGCCCAAACAGCCACACAAAATTACACCTCAAACATGGCAAAGGAAAGAAATTTCTGTGCCGCCAGAAGCAAGACTTCCTTTCTTCACCATCTACCATGGCTTCTGTTCCCAATCTCCTAAAACCATCCAGCCGGCTCTTCCAAACCTCGTTTTTTCACCGGTCTCGCTTCCTGGCAGGGTCCCACACGGAAAAAGAAACGGACTCAGGTGATCACAGGTGCTCACAGGTGGATCCCAGGCAGCCAGGGTTTCCTCAAAGGCCCGGTCGGCCAGGTTTGGTGGTCGTTGCCAAACAACCACTGGGACCGGTGCCGCCGATGCCTGGGACGCAACGAACGAAGTGGGTTGCCTGCCTGCCTGAAGATCTGAGATTCAAAAGAACTAAAACCTCGCCCAAAACATTCCTGGGATTCAGCCTGGATGCCCTGGGAATCCGGTTCCAAGCCTTGATCCTGCAATAAGTAGAGCTCGTCCGGATCCCGCCACTTCACGCGGAAGACGTTCTTCTCCTAGCGGTGATTTGGCCTGGGGGTCGTGGCACCTACCTGGAAGATCAAGCTACATGGTGTTGGGGCTCCAGGTTTTGACCCATCTCCATTTGTATCAATATCACCTGTTGGTGCGGGTGTTCGTTTGGACTCCTGCTATCGCCTGCGAGGCCTAGCGCAGCACAGGGTGTCCACCCTGTGCTGCTAGAGGGAACAGAGACGGCCCAAATCGGATCTCCAAGACAGTTGACCCCCCCGGGGCCAGTCGGTCACCCGGCGACAAAACCGGCACTGGGGCACAGAACATCCATCTTTGAAAGGGAATGCATTTAGCAAGAATTCGGAAGGGCTGCCGCACCCAAAACGCCTCCTGCTTCTAATCCAAGTACGATGATGATGATGATGATGATGATGATGATGATGATGATGATTCTGCCAGCTTTTTGGGGCGCTCACTCCTTTCCAGGGTCCGCCACCGACCCGCGGCAGGACCTTTCCGCCACCTACCGAACCATCTCCCTAGCTTCCGCCTTTCCGCCGGGGTGGGAGAGGCCCGGGACCGATCGGTACGGGACGGATTCGGCTCCTCCAAGAGGTAGTGATGCGTATGGGTCAAACGGATCTTCACCGGCAACGGCGCCCAGCGATGCACCTGATGACTTCCCCAGGTCCTCGGGCGGCCATGCGCTTCCGTTCAGTGCCGGCAGAGGGGGGGGAATCAATGGGTGCGGTGGTTTGGGGGCGTATTTCCCGTATGGAAGTCCAGTTCGACCACATGGGGCACATGCCAACCAAAGACCAATGTCTCTTCCCCCTCTTTGGGGCAGGACGGAACTCGAGGCGTCGGGGAAAGAGAGGTCGGAATGACGTGGCACGAGGCACGAAAGGAGTCGGAACGAGCGTCAAACACCACCCAAAAAGGCATGCAATGGGGACGGTGGGCTCGCTGCGTGCCTCAGGCTAAGTCAAGCCTCCAATAGGACAACCCGCCAAATTTGCAAAAGTTCCATATCCGATCATCTTCCATCTACTTCTGCAGATAAAGATGATACTGTCTGCATGTGACTGTTCACTAAAAGACCCACCGGCCCTATGCGCCATCGATACCTCACCTTTCGATAGCCCGGCGAGCTTGCCCATCCGACCAGGGCCTTCAAATTCGAGGTGCTGGAGATCCACAAGTACTGTAGAGCAGTCTATAGCCGAACGAAGACCCCGTTGAAGGAAGGTCCAGGTACAACACAGTTGACCCCTGTGATAGGAAGTTGGACCATATACCTGGATCTTCCAACTATGCCAAATGTCTGCCTTTTGGCAGTTGTTGATGGATGAAAAAAGGCATATCATATGTTTGTCACATGTTGGAAGATCCAGGTATATTGGATGCTTGGTGGCCCCAACTCGAGGTCATTCAGCTTTCGAGGTCACCGAACGATTGATTTCGGTGTCCTTCGTACGTCGTTGTCCTTTGTCGTTGTAGTCACTAGTCGTGCTCGTTTTCTGCAATTAAACCCGACCAATCCCACAGTTGAGGCTCTTCAAAACCAGCTTGCCTTCATCCAAGTAGATGTCCTTGGCAAGGATAGATCGCGAGGGCACAGCACAGATGGGTGAAAACAGCCGACTACCAGTCGGTGTTTAGTTGTAGGACGTCTGATCTTTGAAATTCCTCAAAAGAATCCAATCACACCCCACTGAATACCTTGTGAGAGTGTTTGGGTCGGACTCATGACTAGGTGACTAGTATCGACTAGTATTGACTAGTGACTTGACACCTCAGTGACATTTGGGACCCCAATTCTCGATCCAAAATCTGACTTCGATCCGTTTCAATCGGTCAACGCTGGGAAACACGGCGAAGCGCTGAAGCGTTGCGCTGCCAAGGTGCTTGAACAGCCACGGGCTTGCCAAAGAAGGAGGGCAACAAGAGGAGCAGCGCGCACACGTCCAATACGAGTAAGAAGTTCAACCAGATCCTTGGAGATGTGTCCGATTCCAGATCCAAAGCTATCAAAAAAATGATCTCTCAGCCGCTTTAAGGGGGTCACCTTAGAGGGCTTTGCCCGATTCGAACGAGAACGGCAGTTCAGTTCAGCTAGAGAGGTCCGTTGGGTCGTTCCTTCGACTGAATCGGTTGGGTCGATCTGGAGAGGACCATGTCAAACCCTTTTTTTCTTGAGGTTTCACATGGCATGTCTAACATGCCCAAACACGATCGATTGCTATTATGAATTCATGGGTGATAAAAAACATAACAAAAATACGTGTGATATGGGCAATCATTGGTTTACCATAGGACTGGTCAAAACCCCACCGGTCCAACCTTTCACGCGCGGTTGATCCGCGCGGTTCGACGTCGTCCGCCCCGTCGTCGCATGGTGACGCGCCTGATCAATAAACCCCCCACTTGTGTGAATCGGACATCCTCTTCAGTTGGGGGATCTACTGTGTTTTTGTTTCAAGAGTCTACACGTAGCCTTTTTTGCCATTTGCTTGTGGCTCTCCGGGTTGGGGCTAACCCCAACGCAAGCCTTCTCAATCCGAGGGCAGGTGGAAACAAGGTGAAAGCAAAGGTGCGGCCTCTCACTTCATCGGACCTGCATAGTCCAGCTGCATTGCTTGCTCCAGATCTTCGTTGGCTGCCAAGCTTGCCATATAGGTGAGAAGTTCTTGGTCAGCAGGAAGAGGAGCCTGGACACGGCGTCGTTGGAGCCATTCCATGAAGAAAATGCGAGCCAGTACTTCATTGAGGTATCCTGAGTACTCCTTGGCGGCGCTGGTCCGGTAAGCACCGCTAGAGTCCTTGCCCTGTAAGCTTTGAAGACTCTTCGGATCTACTCGCTGGGCATATTCCCAGAAAGTCTGCCTGGCCATCGGGAGGTGCGCCACCATAACGGTGGTTGGCTTCCAGGCTATTCCTTGGAACTGTCCTTGGTTGATCGTAACAATTGCAACTTTTGGGTGGTTGCGCAGCCATCAGAGCAGTGGCGTCTTCCATATACTCGGAAGGTCCTGCCTGGAAGGCGCTTTGGGATGTTCACAGATCACGGCTACACCCGCAATGATGGCCAACAAGGCGAGATGCAAAGCTGTATAGAGCAGCTCATGGGCAACCAAAAGCTGGTCAAGCTCTGCCAAGCTCAAGTTGGCTCAGGGTGTTTCAGGGAGATGTAAAACCCTCGGCGTACCTTCCAGGGCCCTCGCAGAGGACCAGGATTCACAGCAGGGTGCCATTAAAATCCCAAAAACTTTGCCTTCTCTAATCCAAGCTGCGAACCGAGAGACATGCGCAGTATTCCGCATGTCATGGTCGGCTGAAAGGGCGACATCAATAAGCAGTGCATTGCTACTCACAGCGTGTAAGCGGCCCCAGGCCTCGAAGTGCGACGCAAAATCGCCAGGCCGGCGTCGGTCAGAGTAGAGGTATAGCACAACTGGCTGGTCCGGCAAAGGCGCTGAGAGCATTGCAGCTTGTGGTGGCCAGCGAAGGTCGGCTTGAGCATCCTGCAATGTAAGCCTTTGCACCTGTGTGATCACATTGAAGTCCTCAGCGCGTCTGCGCACTAGAGATGTGTCGTGGAGCGCTCACATTTGGTTGCCGGAAGCGCAGAAGCATGTGCTGTTGCTGTTCTATAGTGGGATGGCCATAGAAGCATCGCCACGCCTCCACGGCTTCAGCAGCGGCTCGGACCCCTTCAAGCTGATCAGCAGCCGGCAAACAGCAAAAAATACGCTTTGCCGCTTTGCGAAAAAGGCACATGGCATTAAAATGCAACTAACTTGGCAATCGGCTCATGAGTAACACACAGTTGCAAGAAACCTTGGGCAAAATCAGTCGCTGAAGGAGCGCCTGTGCGGTGAATAGGCGTCATCCTCACGGACGGGTCTTGCAGGGCTTCAGCCATCTGGTGACTAAACTGATTCACCAACCATGGGCGAAGAGCTCTTTGTGCTGTAGGATGTCGGTTCGGGCCAGAGCGGCAACCGAGTCCTCACCCAGTGGAGGCACAGTACACACCAGTGCATGGAGACATTCCGTCCTGGTGTATTTGAGGTGATGCAATGGCTGCGTCCTAGAGTGGTAGACCTTCAGGCATTATTTGCATTGCGAATCGACTCCATCGTATGCTGCAATGTTCCGAGTCTGGTGCATTTTGAAATCATGAGCGCACAGCTTCTGGAAGGTCGAAAAATTCTGCTGACACAGGTGGCAACGAAAGGACCGCGGCCCCTGAGGAGCAGTGGGCTTGTTTCAGGAAACACTGCGAGGCAAGTTTGCAGCGTTGCGGCAATGATGGCTCGGCTTAAAGAATCTGCAAAGAAAGCTCCGGCCATGCAAGGTCATCTATGCTGTAAAACTGCCGATTTGAGGGTAGCAGCGCATTAAGGGCCTGCAGATCACCTCGAACAAGGGACAACCAACCTGAGTGGTCCGACTGAGCTTGCAGCATACTCAAGAGGTCAAGCTTTGGGGCATCAAAAATACCAAAAAAGAGGCGCAAACGGTTTTGGCTCAAAAGCCACAGCGGTGGCAGCTGCATTGCGGCAGAATGTCCAACTGATGGACGCCTTGCTGAAGAGACATGTTAGGGACAAGTCTTCTGTACAACCTCAGGACATGAGTGACCCAAAAAATCATAGAGGCAATGTTCATCTGCTGCCAAGTGGCGGAACCATACAAAAGTTTACTGTTGACTAGGCTGCGGTAGAGCATTTCGCGAGCGCGCTGTTGCATGGACAGTTTACGCAATATGCTCGTGAGCAGCAGTCGACTCAGTGGGCGGCAAAGCTGAAAGCGGCGCTGGATCTCAGAATGCGGGTGACCCTTGCCGGCATACAGCGATCCCAAATGCTCATAATCTGGTCGAACAGTCAAGAGGCCCTGGTTGGCTTTGCAGCTACAATAGCTAATGGTTGGAGGCGAATCCTCAAGGAGCGTCGCCAATGCAGTCCTGGCTTGTGGACCACGAAACCGAACCACTGCTTCAGCCTTGTCGACCGAAAAATTAAAGACCGTGCAAAAGGAAGCTGCGGGATCAACTAAAGTGCCTAGAGGTGAGTCCTGGTGAGCATGTATCTAAAACCCCTGGTTCAGAAACAGCATCCAAGCTAGGTAGCCATCGAAGGGGCAAAACGTGAAAAATGCGCTGCTGTTCCAATTGGCTACGAGCAGTATTTTGGATTTCTGCAAGCAAGTAAGCAAACAGGATGTCTGCTAATGGCGAGCCGGGACGGCTGCCGCGTTTGGTGTGGACCACATTGGCCCGTCCGGCCACGCTAAACCATGTGGAGTCAAGGACACCCATGATAATGCTTTGAAGGTATCCATTTGCTGCATGCTTTGCATAAAACCTTGGAACGAAATTGGAGACAAAGCATGAAATCGAAAAAGGCAGCTAGATCTTCATCTGTATGGATGTCTCGAATCAGCGCTGGTCGAAAGAGCCGATAGTAGGCATTGGAGATGTCGATGAAAACACAGGCATGTGAAAGGTGCCGCGACTGGCAAAACTCCGCACGCGCCTGGACCATCAATTGCACTTGATCTGGTCCAGTGCCAGGCAGGCTACCTGATTGCATGGCTGGTGCTATATTGGGCAAGTAGCGCTGCAACATACTGCGCCAAACACGGTGGACGAACTTGGTGAGGACATCCTGAAGCATGATTCCACGATACCCTCTGGGGTCATGTGGAACTTTCGATTTCTTGGGCATATAAATCAATTGGCTCCTTTGAATCGCATGGCCTCTTTGCAGCGAATGGCTACCTTCAAGGCTAAGGGATGCAAAGCACGGGCCATGATGGGAATGTCAATTTGGTACATTTCAGCAATAAGCCCATCTGGGCCAGGCGCTTTGTTGCAACTAAACTGACGTAGGCCACGCTCGATGTCTTGCATGGTTGGGAGGACATCAACTGCAAAACTAGGCGTGGAGAGCATTGTGAGGCTTCGTTGCTGAGCGAAAAAGGCTTGAAGGGCTGCCCGTCTTCTAGATCAGCAAAATGCTTTCCCCACCAGGAATGTATGTCATCTAAATCGCTCAAAAGACTTCCACCCGCACCCTTGACGCCTGGCAATGGTCGAAAATTGGGTCCTGTCTTGCGTCCCAATTGGCCCAATAAAGGGCGCAAGGCTTGGCACAATTGTTTCGAGTCATGGTGGGCGGCAGCTACTTCAAAACGTTTGGCGATTTCGTACGCCTGCCGGCTTTTGTCTCTGCGGACTAGCTGGGCCACTTTCTTATGAAGAGCTGCCCGCATTCGAAGTGACCAGCCCTTACTGGCTTGGACTGCAACTTTAGCCTGACAGAGCAACTCGGCTGCTGCTGAATCTTGGGCTGGCTGTAGCAATTTGTCACAGGACAACGAGTACTTAGCAAGTTGCTTTCTACAAGAATGACATGCCATGTTTCTGTCGAGATGTATGGCTGTCGGGGTTGCCGGGCAACCTTTCCGAAATGCTTTGTACCAACTTGTTGAATGGCCTGGGTGAGAAGTTCGGCGTGCAGACCTGTCCCCAATTCCCATGTCACTGGCGGTAGTGACGCTCTGTGGCGAAGGCCCGCTGGGATGCAGGATCGTGAAGGGCCTCTGGTCGAAAGCGTCGAGTTTTGAAAGCTCGAGCGTTCGGTGCACAAAGGGCAAAAATCAAATCGAGTTGTAGGGCCTTATGATCATCTTGGGATCCAAGGACATCAATAGTTTGTTGGAGGAAAGTCCGGTACCAAGAAATAGTCAAGTCTCCCCCCCTCCATTGCAACCTCCAAGTCGAGCTAGGACCCTGATGTAAATGCGGAAAAGTGTTCACTGCAAAACTGGATGCATCAACTGACCACCTGCATTTTCTTTTTCTGATGACAGAGAGCCAATACTATCACTGACTGTATGACCAACCCTGGCGTTCAAGTCTCCGCCGACTACCAGGTTGGAGACAGTTGTGGATGTCGGCATCTCTGAAAAACACAATTTCTGACCGGCTGTTTTGCAAAAAACAAGATCTCTATGGAACCACAATTCGCACCCATGGCTCCCGACTCCCGTCACTGCCCGAGCAGTAGACGAAGTACCAGCGATTGTGTCGTTGTCCTGCTTGACTTCGGCATTCTTGCATGGCAATCACAGCAATTCGACGCCGATCACACTGACGCCGATCACACTGTTCGGCAAGTGCTAAGGCTTTACCTTCAAGTACATAGCCTTTGGCTTGGGCTGCTAGTGGACCCGTCGACAGTGCTTGGACATTTAGGGTCAACATGGAAAATCGACAGCCACTGCCATCCATGGTATGGGCAACTGGCGGCGTCCAAGTCGAATCAATGGCAGCTTGTGATCCCGGCCCTTCCAGACGAAAAAGGGGCTGCAAGGATAAGGCTGTCGGTACATCAGCTTGAGACGAAAGCACAAGCCAGGCATGTTCAAAACCTGGGTGGCACACAAGTTGGTTGATCGTATTCGGCAACAATGAAGTATAGCCATTAGAGCCTTGGGAGTACCCTTGGCGACGGCATCTGCTAGCTCGTTCCATGGATGGGCATCATGGGACTGAATGTGGTCAAACACCAGGCGCTTTCTTGTTTTGACCATGTTCCGGAGGCTCAACAGGGTACGAAAAATTCGCCGATGATCTACACGTTGTGTGGCACCAACATAGTGGGGCGAATCATGTCCCAAAATGTGAGGGTGAACCAGGCCGTTCAAGCATCCACCAAAAAAACACTGTTTTCTAGTCGAGGTCTGATCAGTGGCATCTCTTTCCAAAAGAATGATGCAAGCCCAAGCTGAACATTGCGGGGGAAACTGGTGCCAAAATGCGACCCATCTGTGAACAAGCATACTCTATCGACTGGCTCCCCGTTCCAATCCGGAGTAAGCTGTAGAGCTTGTGCACTTGCAGGGCGCAAGTCCGGCAATTCAAACAAGACTTCTCTTGCTATGGCTGACGTTTCTGGGGCCATGGACGCACGGCCGATTCGGTCAGCTCCGTTAAATCAGCAAAATCCTCTGCGAGCTTGTAGCAAGAATCAAGCTGTCTAGGCATAGGACAGCAGGCGGACAAGACTGTTCGCGTGAGAGGAAGCAACACCATCGCAATTCGACCAAAAAGAAAATGCTTCCGCGACGGGCTTCACTAGGCAACAAATCGCCTCCATCCTTGGGTTCTAATGAAATCGAGGAAAAATGGCAGAGTTCTGATCCCTATCAAAAAGCTGCATCTTCTGATCGGCTGGCGACAAAAATTGACGGCATGGATGCTGCCTGGGAGCCACTGGCCGCAATCGATTGAGCGAAGCCCTGTTGGTGCTGCTCGCGCACTTTGGGATATTTCTGCACGCGACTGACCTCCGGGGAAAATCGGCTGCGCTGTTGGCTGGCCCGTTGCATGATAGGTACCATCTGGTGTTCTATTGGGAACGATGCCAGTACGCACGCTGGAGCCGGTGCCTGTGATTGCTGCAGCTGTCCTTGTTCGTGGATCCATGCTTGGATCTGATCCTGCTGGTATTGCTGGTATTGCATTGTCGCAACGACTTGGCTGTACCAAGCTGCCGTGGCAGGATCTATGGTGTCTGTCGCTGTTCCCCCTTCGGGCGACGACAGTGGCACTGTTGCTGCCTGGCCATTCACTGGCAACGGTGATGTCTCCGGGTGCCACATTGGTATCTTGGCTTGACTGAAGCTGTTGTGGCACAGTCTGTATAGGCTGAATCGATGCTTCTGTTTGTTGCCCGGGATCTGCCAGTGATTTGACTGGCGGGGTACGAGCAGATGCTTGGCCTGGAGGTTGCAGTGCTGGTGTTGCCCAGGCTGATGCTGCGTTTGCAACGGGCAGATTGCCATTCGCAGCCTTTTTGGCGTTGGCCAGATCTTGCTCTGCCTGCCGCGCTGCTTCTAGCATAGCTGTCGAAAGGAAGGCTTTGGCCTGAATTTGCTGCTTGAGCCATAAGGTTGGCGTAGTACTGGATCATTTCTTGGTATGCTGCTTGATAGCTGCTATCGTGCGCATAGGTCCATTTGCCTGGTGGTGGCGTCATGAAGCCGGGCGATGTGGTTGGAGAAGTTGCTTCCTGCTTGCTGACATCCTGCCCATGTGGTGGCGCTGCAAAAGATGGTCCATCCATAGACGGGGTGGCCTGGACCTCTGGATTGCCTGTAGCCACTGGTAGGGCTGGTGCTGTCTGAGCAGGCAGGTTGGCCGGCTGGATGCTGTGCATATTCATCGTTGGCACCCCTTCCTGTGGAGAAGCCCAGGTTGGTGGCAACGTTTTGTCGTCCGGATCAGCGCTGGGCTGAACTGGCAGCAGTTGCTGTGGTAAACGTGTGGTCAGGCCATGCCCAGGCAGTGGATTCTGTGTACTGTATGGCGCTTGTGCTACATGAGGTATACTCATCATTACTGTGCCCAAAGTGTTCTGTTGCCCTTGCGCTGGTGTGGTCATGGGCATGGTTGGCACACAAGAGCCCTGTGGTAGGACAGAGGCTACTGGCAGAACCGGCGTAGCACGGGCTGTTTGCTGTGTAGCTTGTGCGAGCTGGGCTGTAAGCTGAGTCCAAAGCTGTTGAGGCGCTGTTGCTGTGGACATAGGCAAATCGCTGCGGCTTTGGCTTGCAAGATCTTGGATGACTGCAACTTGTCCTCGCTGCGGTTGCGCTGCATGAGGAACCCATGGGCCTGTGTCGACATCCATGGGCTGTCTGTCTGTCTGCATTTGCTGAGTGCCATCGAGATGCTGGTTGCTTTGGACCCGTGTAGTCAACAGGCGATGTGTGTCGTTGGGCTGTTGATGCATATCCTGTTGTGCTTGAAGTAGTTCTTGTTCGCCTGCAGTCATAGCCTGCTGGAAGGACTGCTGGTCTGCCTGTAGGCGCTGATGGGCTTTTTGAAGGTACTGCTGCCAAGCTTGCCTTGATTGCTGTAGGATCTCTTGAATCTTGCGAATACGTCGTTCGATTTTGCCCAGTTTGTTTGCATCGCTGTGTAAATGTGCTTGTACTGTCTTCGAAGAGCCATCGGTTGTCATCAGGTGTTGGCATGCTTCTTGAATACCGCATTGTTGCTCTTGGCATTTTTGTTTTTGGTTCCACATCTACACAACCAAAAAAACAATTCTTCGTGTGAAGGTGAACGAATGGTGCCGTTTAAGCAATCGATCGGCCACGACTGCTCGTTTGGACACCCCGCCTGGATCCACTTGCTTGATCTGCCGAGCTTGTGAGCGATGCAGACGTTCCCGGCGACGTCGAGCCGGGGAGCGTGGAAACGGCGTTGCGGCAACGAAAAAGAGGAAAAGGCGACGGTCGCGCAAAAGCCCAGAGAAAAAGGGTCTAGTGCACTGGGGTTCGATGCGCCGCGGCTGGCGATTCGAGCCCTGTCTACATGTAGCAACTCTATAGCAAAAAGTGCGCCACAGTGGTGGAACTCTCCCGCCGTCAGAAAATGTCCGACTTCTTCACATAGTCATGAACTATGTTGGATGACTCGCATGCATGTGGCGTCAGGGTGTCCGACGAGCCTTCGAGAAGGAATCTTTGGTTCTCGACCGGCATGTGAGTTTGCAGCCCCATGTGACGCTCCAAACAGCCCTTGGTCCCTCAAAACGTAGGGATCTGACGCCAGACCCTTCCATATGAGGGTCCGACCCCTCCATATGAGGGCCCATAAGCGCCTGAGCGTGCGATGCCAATTGAACTTGGACTTAGAGCGCCAAACGGAATCTCTTCTTCCCACCTAATGCATTGAACAGTCTTCGCCCAGCCACGGTCCAACTGTTACACAAAGACTCCGCCACCCTCGTGGTGCGCCCCGACCTCGCCGCCCACGCAGCTTTTCGCGCCGACTCCACCCCCTCCACCCGTCGTCTCGCCAGGGAGCAAGCTGGCCTTCGGGAAGCAGTAGGTCTCATTGGGCGATTTCATGGGCGATGTGTAGCCCAAGGGGCAGTCCACACATTGGAAGCCCTCCTGCAATGACGTCCAGGGGTGTGTGTGTGTGGATGTTTTTTTATCGTTTTTCATCCTACAAGAAGGGGTTTCCAGTCCACACATTGGAAGCCCTCCTGGAACGGCGTCGTTTTGTCGGTCTTTTTTATCAAGGAGAAGAGAGCTATATTGGGGTTCTTACCTCCTAAACGTATTTTCCGGCTCTTCTTTTCCGAGAAGTTCTTTCAAACCCCAACGCCTAGCCGGGATCCGCTAGAAGTCCAGCTCGACGATTTTTTGGCACCACCGAAAAAAAACGAAAGGATATTCCTAGACTGGCGTCATCTAACAACAATCCTTCAAATTCATCGAACGTTAAAAATGTTCACCATGTTGTGCGGATCACCATGGTGCACGCCTTGACTTTGTTCGGATCACCCCTTTATGGGACTTCCATCGTCGGTCCTTCGAGTCCTTTGGTCCTTTCGGAGGGACTCGATCCCCAAAAACCGGAGGATCCACCCACCCACGTGGGGTCGAGTTCCCTCTCGTTCCCTCGACCACGAACTCGAGGGCGCTTTTGCGCACCCCACAGGTGTGAAAGGAACCAGCGCCTACTGGCGTTCATGGAACCTTCACGAAACGGCGTTTTTTCGCCCGCACGACGGTGGAGGACTCGAAGACGGACTAGACCCTCCTCTGCAACTTCGGGGTTGGGAAAGGGCCCTTTGACCTGCACAACGGGCTCTGTATATATATATTTTTTTTATATATATATATATATACATTGCTGGACTGCGCAGGGACATTCATGCACAAATGGCGGAAAAGGCCGCGCGGAGCGCGGGGCTGCCAACATTGGTAGCGGAGCCAGGTTCGCCTGGCTCCACCCGTTGTTTTTCCTAGGCGCGCTGGACGTGCGCCGTTTCACGCGATTGTGCAGCAATGGAAGCAGGATCGTCGCTGGGATACTTCAGCGGTGACAACTGTGACCATAGGGAGTACAAAAGATGGAAGCAGTGGGCATTGAACAAGATGCGTACAATGGACAAGTTGCCGGAAGAGGCCCGTGGGTCTTTCATTTGGACATTGTTGTCGGGCAAAGCATTGGAAGTTGTTGAGCGCCTCAAAGAGTCCGACTACCAGGTCAAAGGTGGTGAGACCGCCATCTTCAACTTGTTGGACCGGCGTTGGCCGGAGCTGGACAGGACTGATGAGATCGGCGAGAACATCGCCGAGGTGTTCGCCTTGAAGGCCAAAGAAGGTGAATCAGTTCGAGCTGTTTGCTGGAAAGGTGAGTGTCCCCACGCAGGTCAACACGGCCGGCCAGTATTCCCAGAAGCCAAGGTCTGCTACCGAGTATAATCTCCCCAGAAATGCAAGGACTACTGGGAGTATAGACCTTAGGATAGGGTAGTGATTAGATACCATCTCAAGTCAAGAACAAACCGGTTCACTCCTAATAACACTCAGTGTCCAGTCGACGTGTGTAAGTTGCAGCATATTCGAGCCACTCATGTAGGTCAACCCACTTCCATTCTCAGGGACCTGCAGGATGATTGGACAGATCCGCTGAATGCTCATGCACCTCACGATTCGATGCCATCGACCGGAAAGACGGTCTTTCGTTTGAGAACCGACGCCGTGCCCCCGTCAGTCCCCGTCACTGAGGAAGAGCAGCTTCACGTCATGCATTGGACTGCCAAGCAACACCGTCAGTTGCTGGCCCAGGCGCGGACCCCTGAGCAATCTAGTCAGGACAAGTTTGATATCATAGAGGTGTTTTCACCTCCACGTTTTGCTGTAGAAGGTTCCAAGTTGGGGTTGAAGGTGTTGTCCGCTGACCTGTAACTCAAGCCGGATACATGGTGAGTTTTGGTCACAAAGACATAGATCAAGGATCCGATTGTCAATGGTCCCCAGCCTTTTGGAAGAGTGCTAGGCTGCCAAGTTGGGTGGTCATTTCGACCCTGAGCGCTGAGGCGCAGAGCATGTCGGTAGCTTCTAGCATGCTGGAGTGGACGAGCCTCCTCATGTCAGAAGTGGATGGCCCTCGTACGTCACATAGTCTTTGGGAAGGGCTTGGTAATCGATTGGTCATGTTGGTCACCGATTGCAAATCCATGTACGATCATCTGATGTCACAATCATCACCGACCCTAGAGGATAGGAGGGCTTCCATAGACATAGTGATTTTGCGGGATAGCACGCGTAGGCTCAAAGCCACTTTGAGATGGATACCAACACAACGTATGCTTGCAGACTCCTTAACAAAGGAGAGCCCAGAAGCCTTCGACCTGCTGACAGCTTGCCTCTGATTGGCAAGATATCAAATCAGCCCGGAGGAACTTGTCCTGGAAAGCCGTGCCCTTGAACGTGAGATAAGAAAACAGTTTGCTTCCAAGGCGGGTGCAAATCCGTCAGCTGAGGCTTCCACAGCCTCCCAAGAGCTAGGGTCCACAATAAGTAAACAGTAAACAATATAGATAAGCCGTTTGAGTCTCTAGGGGAATGTCAGCATTCAGGGGTTGTCGGCTAGGGAATATTGTTCGATAGTGACCCGTACTCCAACACGGGCAGCGCGTCCTGTGCAAGAAGCTACTGTTGTCTAAAAGGGGTGAAACAATGTATAGTTCGTTTTCGCTCGATAGCACGAAAATCAAAGATAGAAACCTTGCAGAGAAGTGTAAATAGTCAGTGATGTTTTTGGACCTCCAAATGCAAGAGTGACCTCACGCCGCGTTTTTGGATCAAAAGGATTCGACATAGGGCGTGAACAGACCCGGCAAGTGTCCCTTTTTCCGTCTCAACGACAGAGCAGTCACGATCATGTCCAGTGGCAAAGAGATGTTTACCCAAATGGAGGCCGATGAATGCTTCCGTTTGATTCGCAAGGCTCGGAAGCGCGGTGCTTTCGAAGCCATTATGCGAAGGGTTCGTGATGTAGAGGACATTGAACTGGATGAAGCGTGGCTCGCTTCCCCTTCTGGCTCCATGACCGATGGCAGCAAACGCCTTCGAGAGAAAAAGGTGCCGATTCAAGCTGGAATGATTTCTCCGTATGCCGGTGCTTACAGTGCAGGAACAGCGATTCCGGCAGTCCCATGCCAACTCGAGCTGAGAAGCCTGGGCCATGTGTGGTGGTGGAAGGTTTGCCTCCAGGCGTGCCAAGCCTGGAACAAGACCTTGGTGGCCTTCGGGAAATACAAGGGCATCAAGTCCTACATTGAGATGTATGAAGCCAGTGACACAGAGACATCTGGATATCGTGCCTCCTACCACAGCCATTACAGCTCAGGCTCAGCTGGCCTACGCGATTTGGTGGATTACTTCAAAGCCCGAGGCGACAGTTCGACATGCACCCAGGCCGTCATTCCAGGATCGGCCGTTCCTCGAACTTACAAAAATAAGTTAAAGGGGAGTGTCAGTTGAGCATTGCGCGACTGCGCAGGGACATTCATGCCCAAATGGCGGAAAAGGCCGCGCGGAGCGCGGTGCGGGGCTGCCAATATATATATATATATACATATATATATACATATATATATATGTTGATTCCAATCTTCCACAGTTCACATCCCTAACAAATGACTGGAAAGCGAGAGACGCGTCTCTGCCAGCCGAAGGAACTTTCCCCCAAAACACCTGCGTCGCCTCATGTCCCGACAGCCGCCTGGTAGGTGCCTTTGGGACACTCTCGACAGCGGGCGCTGCACTCCGGCGTCTGTCCTAGCGGCAGCTGCCGCACGGGAGCCAGGTTTCCGAGCGCCGGCAGGGACCTTTGTTGGGGACCAAGTGGAGGACCGGTGGAACACACCAAATGTGTTTTCCTAGAAGAGTAGCTGTTCAAGATGCGCAAAACAGGGTTTCGTGGTCTTCCCCGAACATCTCCTCCCCAAGCCCTGCCCATCCCTGTCATCACCCTGGCAAGATTTTTCGTTATGATTCCAAGGTGGGGATGGTTGCGATTTGAAGAGGGAATGTCCCTCTTTAGGCCTCAGACTCAGTCCCATCATCTGCAAATGATGGGGAAGGCATGACCACCTGGTCCTCCTCCGCTATGGATATCACAGGCTTTGATGTATACGTGACAAACCACTGGCGCCAGATTGCCCTGGGCCGTCCCCGAAAGGTACGGTATATTCTGCCGCCCAACATGGAGTCGTCCTCTTGACCACTACCCTGAAACACGGTCCATGCTCTCCCTGACCTGGAAGCTTTTGAAAACGCCTTGGAAGATCAGCTTGAGATGCCATTGGGGGTCAAAACCTGCACCCTACAAACCATGGGTTCGGTTGACATCCCTTCTATTTTCGAGTGGAATCGGTTCATTATATGTTCATTGGGAGCCCTGGGTTCGGGTTCCGGGTGCATACAGTAGTTCCCATCCGCCCCAGCTCCTGCCGAGCAATTGAAGCAGGCAACCTGACCTGCACAGTGAAACTGGGTGCGTTTTCGGCACGGAAAGAGAGGCACACCTTGTTCAATCCATGACAACGTGAGGAGTTAGGGGGTGAAGGCAGAAGCCGCTTGGTCTGGAAATCATGACATCCACGAATGCTGATCGATCTGCATAAGCTAAACTCATCTAAGACCCGTCGCGCCCTTGGGTTTTTCTCTGGCTGGCTGTTTGAAGGTGCGACCGATCTTTTTTTGCCTGGTCCCTCTTATGTCCTCCCGCCGACCCCGACCCCGACGGTGCTACTTCGCCCCACCTGGGCTTTGTGCCACCAAGCCCAATGGACACACGCTGCAGTTGCCACTGCCGCGCTTCGCCGCGTAGCGCCCCACAGGGCACGGCTCACAGGTCTGGCCGGGTGGGAGGGGTGCTCGGTGCTCGCCCCACGGCGGTGCGGGCGCGAGCCGGACCGGACCCCGCTTGATGTCAGGCCACACTTGGTTGGTCAACTTCTGCAACCTTTTCCCCCAAAAAGCCTCCAGCTGTGTGGGAACGGAACGTAAACAGAAAAGGTTTGAAAGGGGGTCATATGCACAAACACACAGGGATACATGTTACAAAAAATCCGAGGATGATATCAACTTTGAAACGTTGCATGACTGTTGCATTTAAACACGGACAAGGCGTTGGAGAAAGGGAAAGAAACATGGCCAGGCAGACCCAGAAAAGAAAGACGGATAAGGCCTGGACAAGGCCAGCAGCTATTGTGGCCAGCCCTTGTCTTCTCAGAGAGAACCCCAACCAGGAAGACAAGAGAAGAACACAGGGTTCACCAGGAGGACAAGATGATTGTTTTTCGATTTCCTTCGCGGCATCGAGTTGACACCTGCGGGGCTTCATCCTTGTTCCACAGGATGGCCGTTAGGCAGGGCCCGCTCCTTCTCTCCAAACTCAAAAGCTCAAAAACCTCCGGCATTCAGGCCAGATGCTGGCTATTAAAACTCGGAAAGGCCAGGAGTGTCGTCTGGCTCCTCCCTTGCATGGACCGGCACTGCAGGAGGCGTAGTTGGCCGCATTCACCAACTGCTGCAGTGCCGCCGGTACCTGCGGCCGCTGCTGTGGTTGGAAGAGATGGCCAAAGACTCCAGCTTGCAGCAACACCGGACACTTGTGCCCGGACTTGGTCGAGCGAGCCACCGGACAGTAGCATTGCGGTCCATCTGCAGGACATAGGTCATAGGCCCGTTGGATCCATGCTGTAGCTGCCTGCATGATGTCCGCATGGTCATGATAGAGGTGTTTGGCAATTCCAGTGGTGTTTTGCATGCGTCGACCACAGAGGCCACACCGTTGTTGTAATGCTTCACGTAGACGGGGGTCCAAAAGCCATTGTGAGGGAGTACCTTCTGCACACATAGCTTGTAAACAGGGCCAGTGCTGTGGAACATGGTCACCCGCTCCCCTGGTGGAGTCAAACCGTTTGCAGGCGTTGGATTCCACATGCATCCTCAACCCATAGAAGTTGTTGAAGGTGGAGCCGCAATGAGCACACTGAGTCGCGCCATTGGCTGAGTCACGGGTCGGTTGGAAGGCGGGGGGTGCCCAACACGCCCAACCAGTCCTGTCGGCTGACGGCCTCGAAGCTCTGGATCATGCTGGGGGAGAACAGGTGTCGAATGCTGGGGGGGGGCCGGGGCGTGCTCGGAGATCCTCAGTCGACTCGGGCAGTGAGACCACTGGCTGCAAGACCGTACACATATGAGGCACGGACACAGCTGGACCACAGTCGAACCCGGCTCCATAGGCTGAAGGCGTGACGCCTTGGAAAAATGATCGAAGACGGGAGTGTGGTATGCGTCCTACATGCATGTATCCGGCGCTTCAACGTTTGCATTTCGAATGGGCCATAGCTAATCTGTGTCCCCCAGATAAGTGCGTTGGCTCACCCATGGAATCAAGCTAGTGCCCCACTGTCGGGGTACGACAAGATACTTGGTCCCCTTGATCTGCTTGGTCCATTTCTTCAGCAGCCCCGTCACCTTGGACCCCGGCAGTTTCGCGCAAGTTCACAACGAGTTGATTGGCTTCTAGTGTATCCAGTAAGTGTCCAAGTTCCTGGACCGCTTGAGGGAGGTTAGCCAGGTGTGTGCAAGTCGTCGGCATATGAAATAAGATGCTCGCGCAGCCACTCCATTATTGGACAGTCAATGCTAGCAAGAAACTGAATCAAGATGTTGAGCAGGCATGCATTCCACTGGAGCGGGGACGCAACACAGCCCTGCCGGGTCCCTCTAAGCCTCTGGTAGGGACAAGGGTGCACTGTGCCCCCCGGTGTGAGATGTGATAGACGGCACCATTCAACCAGGCGAGTAAAAGGTGCTTCAGTTCTTCAGGACAATGAGCATGAGACAATGCAGGTCCCAGTCTTTCTCTCGGCATCCGATCGAAGGCTTCAGACAGGTCTAGGCTCAGGCAGAGCCCTCCGCTTAGAGTGAGTGCCGCACCGGCCCGTCTCTGCCAGAGACTCAATGCAGCACTTTGACACCTGGCTCGAACAGTCCGGCAATGCGCAAACACAGCCACCAAGGCGTCAAACTTCTGGGTAGTTGTTCACATGGCTTGATCCGAGTGCGCCCAGCTGGTCGAGTCTTGAGTATCTCAGCACACGGTCTAAAGAGTACTGGCATGCCCAAACCAGTCCCTCCCCTAATTTTTACCGGATTGGATGCATCCCGCCAGTCGTAGGTATGCCGCCACCATGTGGCACCACCCTTGCAGTGGTCACTGACCTGCGTTCGAGTTTCCATGCCTGGTTTCATGCCATGCGGCACGGCCGACTGCATCAGGCTCTGATGAAACGTGCTCGACAACAGAAGAAGGATAAGTTCCAAGCCAGACGCAGTCCGCTGCTCAGGCGAATGCTGCACATGATGCATTCGATTGTTCGTACATTGAGCCCCAAGCCACCAGTTCGGCAAATATGCCTTCGTTCCACCACAGGCCTTGCACAAAGCCCTGAGGATGAGTTGGAAGCCATTAGACAACACTTTGCTGCTGTTTACTGCGGGCCAGTTCCTCAGCCGCCTGGTCCTCGCTTTCGACTTACTACCATGCCATTCACTGTTGATGACCTGCCCCGGCAATTTGCCAAGGTCAATCTGACCAAAGCTGTTGCGCCGGACTCCTTGCAGCCGGCAGTCGTCCGATCCCTGGCCACGGAACTTGCCCAAGTCTGTCATGAGCTTCTGACATGCATGTGGTGTCATGAGGTGGTCTCCATACCGCCGCAATGGCAGGCAGCTTGGCTCACCCTGATTGCCAAGCGTGCAGTTCGCACCCTCACGGACATATTGGGCAAGTGTGTGCTTCAGACGCTGATCCAGAAGGTGCGTCCCCATGTCCTGCCTAGTCTGTGTCAGGCTTCATTGTTAGGCCATTCATCGTGAGCTCGACAATGTTGCTGCAGGACCTGCCGCGTCGACCAGGACCAACGATCTTGGGGGGACAGCCGGGACGTAGACCGCCCGCCACACCTTCCAGTAGAGGGGGAGACTGCTCATGATGGGGAGATGATCCCAAGGGCTCTCCAGCCTGCAACCGGAAAGTCAACAAGAACCCGACTCTGCTGAACCTGTGCATCCTGTTGACATCTCCGCATGAGCACATGGTTGCCCCCAGGGCCTTCAAAGGTGTGGGCACCATCATGAGTCCGCACCGTAGTCAGAGCATGTTTGCAGCACATCCTGCAGCTCTGGGCTGCGGGGTTGACTCTCTGTGTTAAAGCCCCCTGCCACTGCAACTACATTGCGGATGGGCATGCAAAACTTGGTCCAGTGTCGACCACACGGTAGCTCGACTATCATATGGGTGTGCACGAGTGGAAGTAACATCGGTGGGAAATTGATAGACCTGGATCAACTCCAAGGTGACCTCCGCCACCCGGCATTTGACACGTTGGACTCGACCCTGGATCGGTGAGGCACTTGAAATGTCCTGGCTCGAACACAGCCTATGGCTGATCAGCGTGAGAAGGCCCCCCCTGATCTCGAGAGTCCTCAACCCTGGTAGACAGCACCCAGTACCCATGTGTGCTCCATTCCCTCTGCATGGTCCATCGTGTCCCCTGTATGCACACAATGTCTATGTTATGATGGGTAACGAACTGCATCAATTCCTGCCAGGTGGCACTTGTCAGACCTCCAGCATTCCAGGACAGAAACCGTCCTTGGTGCAGGGGTCGTCGGTAGAGCGGCCAGGAGCAGTCGTCCCTTGTAGGTGGTACTGCCTGTGTGTTGAAGTCTCCTCAGTGCTCTCCTGTAGCTTTGTTTGGTGCTCCTTTCTGAGCGGAGCCCCTTTGCCCCGATGGGGCCTTCAAGTAGCCCTACCCCAGGTGTATTTCGGAGGAAACTCATGCGGGTCTCCTCTGCCCCCAGCCGTGGGACTGGAGAAACCCTCACCTCTAGTGAGCCTGGAGCCAAGAAGCTTTTCGCCAAGCCACAGGGGCTCACTCCCGGACTTGGGACCAGGTTGCTCAAGCGACGGCCGCACCAGGCACCGCACAGCAGCAGCCAGGCATACGCCAAGAGGAGCAGCTTGACAGGTCTCAGGACGGTGCCCCGCTCATGGGGGCCGGCTACGGCCGACTTGAGCAAAGAGGCTTGGAGGACAAGAGGAGGACACAGGATTCGCGAGCGCGGCCAGAGGGCAACAGCAGGACAACTAGAGGCACAAGAAGAGGACAACACGCAAACACAAGGTTCATGGGGCCCGGCCAAAGACTGTGGTTAATAAGAGAGAACCCACAACAGTACACTGTTTGAGAAAATGGATGGCATTCCGACTTCATATCCCAAACACCTACGTCTCCAGCTCACTGACTCACTCGCCGGAAAACGGCCAGGCGAACGCCAAATGACCCCTGCCAGGCGCCTGGTCGACAGAGCGGTCCTCGGTGGCCCGGCCACAGCTGGGGTGGGCGGAGTCCGCCACGGGATGAGACAGCGCTGTCCGCGGTCGGTGAAGGGAGGGGGGGGAAGGGTGAACCACCGAAAAAGGGACCAGGAAGGAGCCAGAAGAATGGGGACAGATCGAACCATGGCCATTTAAGAGTGGTTGGAATCCTTGAGGAAAATATGGTGTCTGTTCGATAAAGCCTATAAATCAATGGTCAATGGTGGTTGGAATCCTCCTAGCATGAGCTGTGAGGCACAGGTCGGGCAGGAGGGGTCGGTGTCTCCCGATGAGTCGGGGTAGGTCTCGGCATGCCACACGACAACCTGCATGAACCAGTCAAATCCAGCCCAGTATAAATGGCCTTTGTACTGGGGTTAGGGAGTAGGTCACCGGTCACCAGTTCCAACACTGTTCAATCCACAAGTTCGGCTTCACTGGCTGAGATGCAGCCCCCCAAGTCCATTGGAACTTCCAGGTTCCAGGACTTCCCACAGTACCCAACGGACTGGAGGGTACAAATAGTACGGGTGGATCTGTTTCAGTTACTACTGTGGATGGTTTGACGTGATATGAATAGCTTTGCATCACTTTAGGCTTAGTCGGCATAGTGGAATGTTTCGAGAAGCCTGCTTGGGAGCCACTGGACCGGCTTTCTGCCTACTTCCCGGGAACCGGGGGAGCCATCCGTCCATCCGAACTCAAGAACCACCTCCGTTTGCCATGCCTCAGAAACCCCCGGAGCACCCCCGTCCCATTCGGCCCCCCCCCCACCCTCCGAAACCCTCCGAAACCCTCCGAAACCAAAGCCACATCACCAAACCACCCTGTTCCAAACTCTTCCACCGTTCCCTCCGTTCCCTCCGGCCGACGAGGGGCTGGCCGGTAGGTGCCGCTCTCACAGGGCCGACACCGGATGATGCCCAACTGATCCGAGTCCAAATGGCTCCCAGCCTCCGCCCGCGCGTGACCGAGTTCGGCGAAGGCGAGCGAAAATGGGCGGACTCCGACGGGTTTTAGACTCCGACGACCGAAGAGTTTGGGACATGGACGGAACATGGCGAGGTAAATGTACACTTAGAACCCGGACATGACCTCCGTTTTGATATGAAGTTGAAGTTGGACCATATTTGTGGTGGTTGATGTTCTAAGTATAACTTATAACTTATATAACTATTCCAGTCCCATGGATGGTCTGGGACCCTGGGAAAATCCCGTCTTAAACACCGGACACCTGGCGGAATCACCGCGGCCCTCAGACAAGACCTTCATGGCGGAGCCGCTTTTTGGGACACCCCCGGTTTCATGCAAACCGCCAGCGACGTCGAATGCTCTTGGATCGACACCTCGACACCTCGAAACGGTTTCGCTCCGGCGGTGAGAGTGACATGGTTCGATCGACACGGCCAACCGTGCCGACACGGCCAATGGGCTTCACCTTCGGCCAACCGCCCCGTGCGAATCGCACCGTCCGGACGCGCTCCCGGACCCGAGACACCACCGGTTCCTCCGGTTCCGCTCGGCCTCGCAGCCGGCGAGGCCATCGAAGGGGTTCAGGCAGCGCACGTCGGTCTCCCACCTGAGGCCCCAGTCGGTCCGGGAGGCGCCATAGCCCGGACCGAAGTGGTGGACATGGAGGGAGGTGCGTTCTCCTTTGGAAGGACGGAGCCGCCTTTTTGGGGATGTCTTGGTTCCGGTGCGGTCGTGGATCTGGTCGTGGCTTGGGGCTTGAATCTGTTTGGGAAATGAATCCTGCTGTGGGGGCAGGGATCGTTTTCTGGGGGAGGTTCAACAAAACCTTTTTTCGTGTCCTTGGAGAAGATCTATTCCACTTAGCAAGGTCCTTTTTCGTGTTCAACAAAACCGTACTTGGAGGAACATTCCACTTAGCAAGCGTTTTGTTAAAGGTTGGTCTACTAAACGAATTACAGAAACAATATTTAGTATGAATTTCAAGAGGAATGCTTAGGAATGCTTACCGCCTTACCATAAACTCATTTCCTCATTGGCAATGACCAGTTCGCCCTTGTCAAACATGACCACTTCAATTCGGAAGTCCGCGCGACGTCGCGTTTCAATCCCTGCACCAGCTTGCCTATGGGGATGGGCCGTGACCCACCATGTGTTCACCCACGAGTTTGACCAACACCAGGTCAACCAAGGTATATCCTAGTGTTGACATCCCTGCACAGCTCTCACCCAAAAAACGGCGTCCCTCCTGCAATCCCTCCCGCTCCCCCGTCCGATACGCGTCGTCTTCCGCGCGGTGTCGACCTTCCACGCGGTGTCGACCTTCCACTCCCTCCGCGCCTGGGGGCGTTGCAAGGCCTCACCAGATCATCCAAGATTTCGCAGGCGTGGCCCAGCGAGGTCTCCTCCGACACATTTCCTGGCGCATGGCATGTCCCGCTGTGAAACACAGGTCTGGCCCGTGCAGGTCGGTCTGCGGTGTCACATGGTCGAGGGCGGCGAGCAAAGGGACGTGAATAGAGTGGAGACGACAGGACAAATCCTTTCCAGTCATTGAACCAATCTAGATTGGTGCAGAAAAGCATGTCATATGTGTGTGTGTGTGTGGGTGTGTGTGTTTGTGTCTTTGTGTACAGGGACCTTCCAACTACTGGCTTTTCGTTGAGCGTTCCTTTTCCACACCCAAATATCTCCATGCACAAAGCACCCCATGGGAGGAAAATATACCAATTTCATTATGCCAATTTCATCTATGTTCTACTCCCTCCGCCATTTATCAAGTCCATTTCGTTCCAGTTTGCTTGTTGTTTTGTGTTGGAGCGCGTGTAGGACACTGTAGGCCAGTGCCAACCATCGACCAGTGGAGTATGTCCCTTCTCTCCGTTTTCACGCACGCCGCCCGGGCCGTAGATCGTCTCCAGCATGGCCAAGCGCACCGGCTTCATCTCCTGACACCCAAGGATTGCTTCATTGGTGTCTTCCGGGCCCGGTTTCAACATCCAGGAATTGGTTCCGGTGTCTGGACCCTGCGATGGAGGGGGCCATAGAGCCTAAGGATTCGGAGGGCGGCCTAAAATGGTTTAAATTGGTCCTCTGGATGGTGCAGGATTTGTCTTTTTGGATGATCCCTTTTCCCTCTGGGCGAACTCTTGGTGATGATCTCCATGAACTGGCAAGGTCGCCCAGCACTGGCAAGGTCGGAGACTGAAGACATCTCAAGACCCTTGGTCTTGACGGTGTGATATGAACAATCTGCAATGGACAAAATCTATACTATTCATTATATAATCTATAAATCTATGTTATAATATGTTCTAATAATAGTTATTGTACGTAGGCTATAGGGTCTCTGTTGGAATCAGGGATGGTCCTGCCCCCCCCCAGTTTCATCCCAATCCCAGTGTCCAACCAGCCAGGCCAGGACGCGGCCGAGCCAAACCGTTCGACCGTGCATCGACCGTGCGGCTCCCGAGCGGCTCCCGAGTGGTGACGTGGTCCAAAAGGGGCCAAAGCAGCGCGAGGTTTCGGTCGTTCGGGGAAAGTTTGGGTCCAGAGAGATCTGCTTGCGATCCCAAAGCGCCTTTTTTTAAAAGATTCCATCAACGATTTCCAGAGACACTGCAGTTGCAAGGAAGACCAATCAGTTGGAGGAGGAGAGAGGAACCCAGCCCGATCGGTCCCCCAGGCCGATCAGTCCCACTGCGCGGCCGATCAGTCCTCCACCCTCCGGGCCGCGCCGCGTCGCGTGTGTTGTTCAACCACCCTCCACCGAACCCACCCAGCGCTGACCCGCCGGCCTCGATGTCCGCACTCTCTGGGATGGGCGTGTTGGGATACCTCGATGTCTCCGCTCGGGAGTGTCTTGGACCGGGTGCCGAAACGGACGGCGAGTCAGACCTTGGGAGTTGAGCAGAGGTGGCGAGTCAGGGCAGATGATGCTCAGATGCTCTAGCTCTTTTTTGGATGCGAAGTGGACAGTGGACAGTGGCCCCCTTGGAAGACGATGTTCCTCTACCAAGAGGGGGTTGTCCACTTCCATGATTGTTGCAGGGAGGGTAGCTCTTTTTGGATGCGAGGCTTCGCAGCGGGCCGGGCTGAAGCAGGTTTCCCTCCTTGGGCTTCGCAGGACGGTTTTGGGCTCGAAAAAGGAAGCGTTCGAAGGCCGATGGCTGAAGTCTGGGCACCGATGGGCTGAGAAAGCGTTGGAATGGCTGAGGACGGAGTTGTTTCGTCATCAACTCTATTTGAACTCCATTAGGGAACGCTATGTAGCAGCTGCGTATGTACCAGCTGCCATACGGAACTCCGTCTAGTGCGTTCAAATGATCTGGCAAACGAGCTCAAGTGTACATGGCCACGAAACATATCTTGTACATCGAAGGACGTACCACCTCACCAATGACAGTGTTCATCATCAAGTAACTATAGACTATATAGATCCTTTCCTTGAGTTCGTCTGTTGCGACCGTGGATGACCTCTGTTCCTCTCTCGTCTTCAATTTATTCAATGCTAGACGAAAGAACATACACCCAAGCACCTTCAACACCCAATCACCTCCAACCAGTATACTGGACGACACGGAAGTCATCCATGGTTGGTCCATAATGCAAATGAATGCAGCCATGATCAATACCGGTAGTAGTCTTCTGGTTCAAAACCCGCACATGTCCCTCATCCTAGCTCTCACATGACTCACCCCCGACTTGAACTCTGAGCTGCCCGCACGATCACCAGTACTCAAACAGCACCAAAACGCACCCTGCGACCCCACACCACCTTCCTCCGGCCCAAACCACCCACCAACCGTGGACCCTTCCCTGGCCGGTCAAGAAAAACCGTGCTGCTGCGAAGGGATGCCATTCTTCATGGCGGTCACCACAGGGTACCACAATTTGCTTCGCGCCTGGCGACCACACGGCGAGGCTTCGCGGCGAAGCGTCGCGGGGGGCGCGGGGCACATGCCAAAGGAAGTGGCGACTCAGAGGTGCGCAGCTGACAAGAAGGAGCTTGTTGTGTGGCTAGGTCTCCAAGCATGGGTGAAGGGCGACTGGGTTTGTCCTGTCTTCACAGCACGGCTACTACAGTACATGTTTATTCCATCTGAGTGGGGCATTCCGGCACCAATTCCGTGGAAGTTGAACAAGGTCTTAGGGTTTAGGGTTAGTAAAGATGACACGTGACTCCCTCGACCTGTTCTTCTTTCGCGGAAAAGGAACAATTCCCAAAAAACGGCTAGGAAAAAACGATGAAAAACGTCTACAAACCTGCAGGTGATCCATGTTTACAAACCTGGGTAGGATACCAGGATGTTGTTGCTTTTTCACCAAAGACCGAACACCCGAACATCTGAAGGCTTCTGCCGAACCAACCTCCCGGAACCCGGACGGTTCCCCGTCGGTTCGGCCTGGATCGCTTCCGCCAGGCTGAGCCGCGGCGGGGGCACACTGGGCGCGACGATCCGGACGGCACATGGCATGGCCGCCCCATGACTGGTGACCCAGCGGTTCGGGGGGGTTCGAAGCAGGAGAGCGGATCGAGCAGTTTCGAAGCTTCTTGACATCGATTGACCCAGTTTCTTGACCTGGCACCTCCAGAGTCGAAGGCATTTGTCAACGAGGAGGTTTCTGTTTGTCAGGGGCCTTCTACACCAAGCAGAGGCCTTCTACAAGATACCTGCTCACAAGATACCTGACTCTGCACTGGAGTCTACAGGATAGTCTAATTAGTGTTCAAAAATGTTCAAACATTCAACTGCTCCCACTGACCCTCAAAAGAACGGATGTGTTTTCAACGAATGGGGAGAGACCCACCCAACCATATGCTGGGCTTGATCGAACAGACCTACGTTCAGTCGATCGGGGACTGGACCGAGGACGCGCTCATTTGACGGGCGAAAGACGAGGACTCGCCAGAGTCGCTAAGCGACTCACTTGTGACTCTCCCTCAAATGATCATGAAAGTGGAACTTGAGGCCAGGGGGAGAGGTCGAAAGCTAGCCGAATCGCACCGGATGTACTAGTTACATAGTCGGCAAAGCATGTAGGGATTACATGTTTTGGGAGGAAGGTTGCTATGTACATACTTTGCGCTAAAGAATGTAAATGTGACATCGCTGACTGGGAAGGGTACATTGGAACAACCCGGGTGCACTCGTTGGCAGGCACGAAGATGCGTGATCGGCAAATCTGGGGGGTAAATTTACCCTCCGCTTTTGTATGCCTTGAGTCGGAAAGAGGGGTAAGCATTTCTGACATCATACGGACTGTACATACACTAGGGCGTCCGTAGTGTAGGAGAAGCACGGGTAAAAGGTATATGGAATAGAGTGTCTTGAGGAAATAGCCGGTGTATGGTTATTGCAAATCTGGGGGGTAAATTTACCCCCCGCTTATGTATGCCTTGTGCTGGAAAGAGGGGTAGGCATTTCTGGCATCACAGGGACTGTGCATACACTAGGGCGTCCGTAGTGTAGGATAAGCACTGGTAAAAGGTATAAGGAGTAGAGTGTCTTGAGGAAATAGCCGGCTTATGGTTATTGCAAATCTGGGGGGTAAATTTACCCCCCGCTTATGTATGCCTTGAGCCGGAACGAGGGGTAAGCATCACAAGGACTGTGCATACACTAGGGCGTCCGTAGTGTAGGATAAGCACTGGTAAAAGGTATCAAGAATAGAGTGTCTTGAGGAAATAGCCGGTGTATGGTTATAGCAAGCCTGGGGGGTAAATTTACCACCCGCTTATGCATGCATTAGGTTAGAAATAGGGGTAAACAACTTGTAACGGTGAAGTACAAGTCCTATGCAGCAAGCAGCAGCCAGCAGCAGCAGCAGCAGCAGCAGCCGCCTGCAGCCAGCAGCCAGCAGCAACCACCAACCAGCAGCCAGCCAGCAGCACCACGCAGCAGCAGCGCAGCATCAAGCCGCAGCAGCAGCAGCACCACCGGCAGCAAGCACCACCGGCAGCAAGCAGCAAGCAGCAGCAGCAAGCAGCAAGCAGCAAGCAGCAGTAGCAGCGGCGTCGTCAGCCGCAACAAGTAGCAAAGCAGCAGCTACAAAAGCGGCAACCAGCGGCAGCAGCAAACAGCAGCAGCAAGCAGCAGAGCGGCAGCAGCAGCAGCACCCTTTACACCAAGCCACCGTTTACACCCAACCAACCACGTTCAACCAACCCCCTACACGGCGCAGCTGGGAGTTGAACCGCGGGGGGGG